GAACCTTCAGCGAGGTGATCTGGCACCACTACCACCTGATGTCCCTGGCGCCCAGTCACCACCGTCGGACTGTGTCGTCCCCTCAACCACCGCCGTCCTCATTCATGCACGGCCTGCTCTATCCTCTACATCAGCGGCAAGGCTGCCTCTCATCCCATCTGCCCCTATACCATTTTTAAACTCTTTACTTGGATTGTTTTAATACCATTTTTCCCATGGTGCACCATGCAACAGTCACAAATATTGATACTATGGTTATTTGTGCTTGTATGACACATGAGATGAGAGGGTAATCCCCTCTACCACACACAAAGTTTCCCCTTATTTTAATATAAGAGTTGGTTTTTGTCGCATACGACGAGGCAGATTAGTGTTTACAGTGAATTCACTTTGCTGATATGAATTTACAGAGAGTTCAAGCGCAACAGACCGAAGACACTCGTCTCGTTTCCAACTCACAGAGCTCGAGAGGACCTGGAGGGCTAACTGCTCATGATATATGCTGTGCACACAGATGGCCAGGGTGGGGAAAAATCTGGGGAATGTACAGTAAACGAGCGACTCGGGCATAAAGGGCACAGCAATGTAAAATGTAATCAACATAAATGAAGGTAAGTATCTTGTTAAGCTTTGAGTTGTACTTATCAACATGAACAAGCCACCTTAAATGTATTCAAAAATAAATGTGATAATGTATTGGTCACTAGCATATTTTTAAAAACCTCTCTAAGTGACAGAGGTGTTTAAAGGGTGATGCTGCACTGGTAAAGCAGGATACAGGGTTACATATCAGCAACAATAACTTGTCTGTTCGTCCATGTGAGTGAGTGAGAAAGACAGAGGGAGTGAGATGCTCTCTGCCAAGTCTCAATAACCAGGTCAGACACATTTAGGTCAGAGCCATGTATCCATGCAGACAACTGCCTCATTCTCCCAGTTTGCCTGCTGGAGAGAATGGAAATGGATTAAAAAAAAAACTCCCCAACAATGCCTTTTTAAAGTCTTAAAGTCTGCTCATCAAAGGTCGTTTTACAGCAGTTAACAATGAGAAAGATAGAGGCATGAACTCTCTCTCCCTCTGGACCTGGTGGAGGAAAAAGCAAACAATGCCCAAACAGAACAAATATTGGCCTTTAATCTAGGTAGATAAACACCGCCCCATTAATATGAATGATGATGTTGAAACCTAACTGTGGGTTGACAATCAGTAATAGCAGGTTTTAATTCACTCAGCTATTAGCTGGATTGCTGTCAGAGCAACACAAGATACTGTGCGTCATCATCCGGAAAAATTCAAAAGGATCTAATCATGCTCATAGCACCATCAGCAGCAGCCATGTCATGGGATAATCAATTAGATGTTCTGGTTAGATATTAGCTCACATGTGTAAGGATGGTGGATTCCATCTGTAAATACTGTTTTTTTTGTTTTGTTTTTTTTTCTTCTTTTTATTAGGTGCAATAAGTGACAAACTGGTGATATACAAATGAGGCAAAAAAAAACAACAAACAGACAAGGTCAGGACAACAGCTCCAAAATACAGTAAAAAATACTGTGGTAAATAGTGTGGTGTGAGAATGATTATGTTTTAGCGGAAGTTGACTGCAGCCGGGGTTTTGGGGTTGGTTTGAGAAAAAATAAAATTTTATGAAAATGCAGTCACTTATAAATTGTGTGTGTGTGTGTGTGTGTTGGGTGTGATTGGTGCACAGGCAGAAAGAGTTGATGGGTGGGATGTTGTGGGGGTAGTTATGAGTTGAGGTTGTTGATTATTGGGTTCCAGACAGATTCAAATTCGGCAGTTTGATTTCTGAGTGGGGCAGTTAGTTTTTCCATTGATATATATTCGGTGAGTATGTTTTTCCAATGTGCAATGTGGATTTTTTTTCTCGACTTCCAGTTCATGAGGACAGTTTTCTTGGCGATGGTTAAGGCTATGAGGAATATTTTACTGGATGTGATATTTAAGTTGATGGTAGATATGTCTCCTAGTAGGCAGAGTGTGGGTGAACATGTGGCAGCTCAAGAGTACAGAAAGGTGGTCAGTGATGTCATGCCAGAATTTTTTTATTGGTGTATAGTCCCATGTGGCGTGCAGGTATCCGTCTGTGGTGTTTTGTGAGCAGTGTGAGCATAATTCAGAATCAGTGAAGCCCACTGTAAATACTGTTTATCAAAGATACATCTGCTATGTCGATTTATTCTTTTTAAAAATGACTTCTTTCTCAGTAACTCAAACCAGAGTTTTAAAAATCTGTCATTAGTATGAAAGCTAGGAAACAAGTTTGATGCGACAATAAGGGCGCACTCACACTACTAGGCAATCTGTACCAGTGTTTTGGTACACTTCCTTGGCCCTGGCCCGGTTTGAAAGAGGTGTGCTTCGACACGGTACAGGTCATGCACGAGCACAAGCACGGGTACACAACATGGACAGCTGAGTGTTCTGGCTGTATCTGATTAAAATGACTGCAAATAAGCCACAAAGTCAGTGAAGTAGCTGTCATGTTCTCTGTGTTGTTCTCTGATGCGCAGACGCAGACTCGACCACACGTCCCTTTTTGAGTCCACCAGTCTTGTTCATTAAGTAAAGCCATGCATGTGTTGTATTACTATGTTATGCACGAGAGGTAACCGTGCTCAGGCCCAGTTAGTCCTAAAGCAGTGTGAGAGCAGGCCAGCGGGGGAATAGGGAAGGGGAGACAACTTTGCCTAGTGTGAGTGCGCCTTAAGAATCCCCACAAAAATATCCCACTGTTCAAAATGTCTGCTATATATTTAATTTTCAATATCTGTTAAAGAACAAAAAAGAAAACAGTGCTATGTCAAAGAAGCGACATAACTTTAAATTAATCTACAATTAAATGAATCAGTAATCTGCTACAACTTGTGTTCATTTCATCTTTGAAGAATGCGAAATCATGGGGTTGGATTATTTTCAATGTAAAAAGGATTTCAGTCTGTCTGTAAACTGGCACGACTTGTCCCTACTCCCTTGTTAAACGCAGCAAACAGCCACTGTTAATGTGAATCAATGATGGTCTGTATCAGTCTTTCAGCTGACATCATGTATTGATCATGTGGCTGATGGTGTGCTTAATGGAGCCCTTTAACAGTCATTACATTTCTTTTTGTTTTGCAATTTGATGTTGAATTACAAAAAACAAAAAACGAAAAGAAGTCCAGAGAAGAGCCAAAACATATTGTGAAAAAAAGACAGGAATGTTGACCTTGGTTATGATCCAGGTATCAAATGTAGATTGATGCAAAGCCTGCAGCACAGTGAAAGTTAAGCAAACAGAGCTGCTGGGGCAAAAGGCAAGAAGTCAAACAAGTGAATGATGAAATGCTGCTCTTAAAAAAATCCTTTCCCAGCTGAAAGATAAACCTGTTCCTGCCAGCAAAGAGGAGGCTTTGAGCAGGAGAGAGGCGTTTAAAGCCTCCTGTTGTCTTCACTATTCAGGTCACAAGATGTGTGCATCCACATTGTCCCGAGACAAACTGACTTTATGGTTAACGCAGACCGTCTAGACGCCCAGAAATGTGTCATCTGTAGTCAATGTTTAGAGCACACAGGCCGGATTGAAGGAACAAAGTAATCCAGTTGTGGAAACACAGCGACACGTTGTTCTAACCCGGGCAGCACATGTTAGACGACGTGTATAGTGATAGTGACTTTAAAGGCCCACACACACACCAAGGAGATCGTCGGCCTTCGGTCCTAGTTGGCCTGTTGGTGAGCGGTCGTCGCACTAGTTTACCCATCAGCCCCCGTCTGCCTTTTTTTCGACAACTTGAATCGGCGTTGGTGAGAGGAATCTCTCTGATTGGCTGTTTGGAGGTTTCATTTATCTCCAGGTTTCGACACAGGTTCAGGAAAGCCTCTTTTTCTTTGACTCTAGATTTTTTTTTAACTGGTGTAACATCTTGTTTTCCCGTTAATTTATGCCTTAAAGCCAGGGTCTTAAATCAACTTTTCCACTCTCTGGCTAGAGTGGCAGGTAGATAAAACATCCACCGGCCGGGCAGATTTCTAACCTAAACCTAAATTAAAATCAGTAAATTAATAACCTGGAAGTTCGGCTGACAACTAGCACCTTAGTCTAAGACCACAAAGACAACGTCCTTGACATGCAGAAAGGTTCTTGCCATTCTTCTTCAATGACCATTGCGATTATGTCCAAAACTGCCAATGTTGGCGTTGGGGTTTGTTTTGTGTACAGCAGTGACCTCCGTCGTCACCTCCAGGGGAGAGTAACTGTGTTTGTATGTGTGAGCATGAAAAAAAGTCCAATTAGCAAACATTAACACCAGCACTAGTTTGGTTACCTCTTACTATTGGACTAATCTCATGGAAACAAAAAAGCTGCAAGTTCAAAAAATACCCGCCTATTTGAGTACTAGGCCTAACTCGCCAAAGGAAAATCTGCCACATTTGGCACTTGGCAGGTGTTTATTTCTAACCCTGCTAGGAGGCCTCTCTTTTTATGTATGTTGACGTGTTTGCAGTATTACAAAGAAAAAATGATTCTATACATGTGTGAATCTTATTGCTGTTTTATATCAAATTGCCTCCAGACTGGAGCTCCCTCGTTCCTGTTTTTTGTGTGACAACATTGTATTTTATAGGATGCTGACTGCACACAGAGCTTGTTTGGCAGGTTATCATGTGCCTTGGCTTCAGAGAGAACAGGGTGGGGTCCTCTTGTTGTTTCTTGTTAGAGTTGGATAAAATGTTAAAATGAAAAAAACATCAGAAAACTGTTCAGGGAGACAGGTTTTCCTCAAAAGCCACATCCAAACAAGAGAAAAGAAACTCCATGACAGATTGAGTGTACTTCTAATTGCTGAGGTTAAGTGTTAGCTAATTGTGAAAAACAAAAACAGGCCAGACCACAAACTAATAGCTGTGTAACCTGCAGGGTAGAGTTCCTGTGATGATTAAGATATTAATAAATGATAGCAATAGGAAATGACATGAATGGATGGCCTCACATACCTTGTCATTTAGGACTCAAGCGCCTGGATCCCAATGGATGGCAGAGGATAGATCCAACAGCAACAAGCTGCTTATCTAACGAAAAAAGGAGAAAAAAGAAAAAGGCAACATAAGCACAAAAGTAAACAACATCAACTGCTTCAGATAGACTGGTATCCTATTCTATCCGTTAGGGCGATACTTTTAGTTTAACTGCAATCCTTACAGAACGCCGTAACAAGCTCCGTCATCTTTACGTCTTTGTACATTCATATAGCCCTGTTCAGACTGCAGTGTCAAGGCCTCATTTACACCCCTGTGACATTTCAACTTTAATATGAAAGCCGCAGAAGCGTACTGTGGGGCCAAGGTGAACACCTCCTCTGTGCAGCTTTTGGATGTGTATGTGGAGCTCTGTGCTGTTCTCTCTCTCGTTTCGGCAACACAACGTGAATTCACAGACCGGGATGCAGATATTACGCTTTTGAGAAATCAGTATGAATGTCTTAAGGCATGACGAAGATGGAGCTGAGTTGCACTTTAAAACGGGCTTCTGTTACTATCTCTGAAGGAGGTACAGAAGTGGGATAACTTTGTCCCCCCATTATGCCTTTGTAACATTCACAGTGAAGGCGAGAGGCCACAGTGGTGTAAATATCCCGCCTCCAACGAGCAGTTTGAATGGGGCTTAAGGGTCAATTCCTGCATCTCTTTATATAAAGCTGTAAAATTAGTTGCTATCTGATTCTCACGATTTACATAAACAAACAAAGTTCCTTTCTTTTTTGCATATTATGGAAATATTGAAACAGCTGTAAAGTGACATTTAAACATGGCTGTCCAGAAAATCTGACAAGATCTAAAAACTAATAGTGACACTACAGTCTCTTGCAACTAATGTGATGTATTGATCTTTAGATAATCCCTTCCAAGCATTGATGGAAATCTGCCAAAGTCAAAACAGATTAATTGGATTAGATTAAGCTCCTGTAAGATGTTCCATGGTGCATGATAATAAGCAGTCAAATTTAGGTCAAAAGAGCCTCTTTCTCTCTCATCGTGTTAAGTTATGCGGGCCGAGGATTGGCTTTGCAAGTGTGGATGCTAATGTTGGGTATGTTCGGAATAGAAAAGATTTGTCAGCAAACACTCGAGAGAGCTGTTGAACAGGGCCTGCATGTATTAAATTAAGATTATGGGGGGGAAAGCCTCCTCCTATGTGCACAGTGAGTCCTGCCTCAGGAAATGAGAAGAAAAGATAGAAAACAGAAGCTGCTGAACACTTCTGCAGAATTATTGTAATGCACAATCGAAATGTTTTTATTCTGCAGAAATCTGTCTATTGTATGGAGGTCATCCAGCTCGTCTTTAAAAAAACAAAAGCCTGAACAAGTCTCAGCATTGGAAAGCGACAAAATCTTGCCTCTCATGTCAGAGCACAACACGGGAGTATTGTCCCTGCATGCCTGCAAAAGCATTAGCCTTGCTGGCTGATCTGAGACAAAACCGCACCAGCTAAAAGATAGCATCATCCCTCCGCTATCTCCATCGAGCACAATAGAGCTATAGAGGAGGGAAAAGGGGAAGGGATGAAAAGACTGAAGAAAAAAAGGGGAGGTGAAAGAGAAATTTTGACTTATTCATAGGGTCTCCCAATCAGCTGGGAACACACTGAGCTGCACTGACTCATTAGTTTCTGCTCCACTTCCTCTTGGGTCCTTTTTATCCTCATCTCATCTATTTGGGAGAGTGAATCTTTGACAAACAAAACAAGTTCCCGCCATCACGTGCTGCAGTAAAGCAAGAGAAGTGTCAAATTTTAAAATGGGGGTGTTGTTGACAATGGGGGATGGGGGGCATTGCAGCTACAGCCTCAGCCTAAAAGCCTCTTCTCCTCTGCAGCAAGAGCTCAGTCTCTGCTGCAACCGTATACTGTGAAAAGTAGACGGCACAGGAAATCACCTTGAGCCTTGTTTACACAAACTCTGTCACTGCGGAAGTACTTCGTCCCTTACACAGACTGATGTGCTTCGGTATCAGGAAATGTTTACTCATTTATAGAGACAGCTTATCAGCTGTGAAATATATGTCACTACTTCCTGCTTTCATTCGTAATATGGAGCATCTCTCTGCAAAGTAGGGATGGGCATATGCAGTAAGTTTAATATTCAGGTACTTTCATTATGGAAGAGTCCTTGTCTGAGGAATTCTTTTTATGACAAAAATGATATAGCATGTAATAGACAAGGACTTCCCGGTGGCCTGCTACATGTTCTATAGAGTGCAGATCATCAATCAATACTGCATTTCTGTAGGACAGCAGCCTTCAAATCCCCTACCTGAGTGAAATGACAACTGATGGATACATAACTGAGGTTTATTAGTGGCGCCTAAAGGATATGAATAGATAGATACTTTATTGATCCCGAGGGAAATTCAAAGCATCCAGTAGCAGGTTACAAAGACGTAGATGTCATGAAATGAATATACAGTAAAGAACAACACCGAGCTCCAATGTATGAATGAGACAAAAATGTATTCAGCTCTGTAGTAACAGCCACTTTGTCAACACATTTCAGCCCTCAATTCTGCTGCGCTCTCACACATCCCATTTTCTCTACTCCTGTAGCTGTGGTTGCTGTGATGGAAGTTAAACTCCTGCTCGACAAACGCCATCAGCTCGCTGAAGCCGACTGCTTACACAAAGTAAATGGGAGTTGCCATTCTGTTGCTTGTCAAGTTTAACGCTGTTGCTGCTGTGATGGTGCTTTGCTTCAGCAACAGGCGCCGTCTACTGTCTGCAGCACTGCACTTTTGAATGGGATGCGTTTGACTTCCGGGTCTCTTGGAGCCGACCTCAAGCTGGGCATTCCATTAACTGCTGTTTTTTTTTGCACTTTTGCATTGGCTTCATTTTTCAACGCTGGAGGTTTCCACTTGTTCACACGCAGGGTCCAAAATTAACACCTGCCAAGCGTCAAATGCGGGTAGATTTTCCGTTTGGCGAGTACTTTTCAGAGGGCTATCCGCCACAGGGCGGGTAAATGTTTTATCAAAAAGTCATAGAAACTATGCTATAAGTATTCATTGCGTTTGATGTAGCCTAGCTGCAGCTACTTTTCCCTGCTCCTCTTTCTACTGTCATGACTGTCTGTGAGCATCGCGGGGCACGCCGAGACACACCAACATACACTGCAGCGCAAAACGCACGCACGCACGCCTGACATCGAATCGATCAAGTCTGTGACTTAAATGTGTTATTGATTAAACAAAACATAATGCCTTCTCAATTAAATGTACTGTAACAGATGTGTATAGGACACAAAAACAAAATTTGTTATTTTGGCCGGTAAAAAAATATGTTTGGCTTGTGAATTTTTTCATCCACCTGCCACCTTGGCCGGTGAGTCAAAAAGTTAATTTTGAACCCTGTTCACATGTTTGTTAACTTCTGTATTTTTGAGTGGTGTGTCACATTTCCCGGATGTGCTCATCTGACCTCATTGCCGCTGCAGGTCAACGATGTACCACGATGCAAAGTGCGACTAGTACGCATGACATTTGTTTCTACACAGTGAGAAAAAAAAGGCTGTGATGTAATGGTGCACGGACAGCCTTGCGCTGGTGTGTGTGCTTCGGCTGTTTACAATATTGAAGTATGATCAAAAACTGGTCTCTCTAATGAGGCTCGGTGAAAAAGTGCAGGGCTTGATGGTCTTTATGCAGTCTATTACAGAGATGGAGCAGTGTAATGGAGTTGTTTGTTTTGTCTTCTATGGTTATAATGTCATGATTTCTGATTACTGGCATAATTATGTATTAGTAGATGTTATATCAGCTCCTTGTCCTGGCCACTCTGTTCCTTTGCTCTGCTAATAAAGACACACTGTAAGCTCAGATCCAATTGGCTTGTTTTCAGAGAATATTACACTCACTGCAGGTAAAAGGTGTGTTTCATAATGACATCCAACACTGAAATAAGATACTCGTGGATCAGAGTAGGAAAGGACACGACTCAAGGGTAGGCACTAGGCAGCAGATGTAAACACAATCAGTCACATGACTTCATTGCCGGGCCATGGTGAATTAAGGTCAGTGAGCAAGGTGCTGCAGACCAGCCTGTTCCCGTTCAGCCGGGTTTTAAAAATCGCAGCACACGCAGCGATTGAAAGCCAAACATGGAGCTTCTTTATGAGCCACAATCCACCACAATGACTGTGCACAGAAAACCAGATGTCTTCATACAGCCAGTGAACTGTTACATGATGCACTAAAATGCAGCTCAGGGGATCTCTTTACAAATTAGCAGATTTAAAAACAAGTGTGTAGTGTGAACATACTGTGGATTCAGTGACTCAGGCGTTCACTGGAGGTGGCCATCGCATATGTCCACATTTGCAAATATATGCATCATATAGACCGCGCTAGAGATACATTTTATTATATTTATAGTAAGTGCAAGCAGGTTTTATTTCTGTGCCATCAATTGCATGCCAAGTAAAAACAGCCTACCACAAATTAGCACGGGAATGACTGACAATTACTGAGCAGGGACAGATATGATTACAAGCAGTCACTTCAGATGCATGCACGGGCATGAAGCATTCAGATCAGATTTGTGTTGCATTCCATCAACTTCACACCGACAAAAAAAAGAGACTTATTTTGAACCAAATACAACGCGTCTAAATGGGTTTGAGTCTGTGGAAATGGATTCTTAACAACCTCGCTTGTCCCTGACTTTTTCCACTCCAGTAATGAATTGTGGACATACAGAGTCCATCATATGCAACATACAGATCCAGATCAAATTATCCTGATCTTTTGATCTTCTTGGGGATTTACTAGATTGAAGCAGTTTAGAAACCCAAACCTTAAAGGTCGCATCTTATGCAAAACACACTTCACTATGTTTCTTTAACACTAATATGTGTCCCTAGACCGTCTACAAAACCCCAATGATGGGAAAAGTCAATTTTCTCCATCTTCTCCCTGCTCCACTTTTCAGAAAATGTGTGCTCACACAGGCCGTTTGGAGATTTTCCCTTCATGACATCCAAAGGGCAGTAACCCCTCCCCCCAGGTGGGTGACACTC